AGCCCGGTTATAAAATGTAGAAAAAACTCTATTTTATATAGACATGTTGATCTATACTCTACATAAAATATTCTGCAAAATATTTTTTATTTCACTCCGGTTGTTTTATTGACGATGAATCATGATCAATCCTTTGAATACGTAGCCTTGCAAAATAATTTATAAAATGAGAGGCAAGTGTTTTAACAAAAACTTTTTTTAATGTTGAATTTATTACAAGGGTTTGGAAACTAGAGATGGATGATCTATTTATAATTTTTTTATTGATATAAATGTTTAGATGAGACCAACTTACATGTATTTGAATTAATTTTATGAATTTTAAAATTAAAAATTATATAAATTTTTAATAATTTTAAAAAAATTAAAACTCGTAATTACTGAGAAATAAATTAAAAACCTAGTCAGTTAAATTTATAATTTTATTAGCACAAAAAATATACTATCAACGAATTCTAAAAACTATTTCTCTAATGAAATAAATCTAATTTTTTTTTAACAAAATCAATCCAATTTAACTAGTTATGTTATACTGGTTTGGCGAAGAAATAGATGCAAGGACGGATAAACTTAAGGTCTTGACAGAACACATAACACTTCATCCCTGCCCTGATCAAGTAATCATTACAAGAATGAATCCCACAACAATGAGTTGTGAAGATGAAAGAAACAATCTTGCTTTAAAATACATAGCCAAATGCCACGAACCATCCTCTTGGAATGATTTGCCACGAGACCACTCTGGGGGCAGCTCTAGAATTTACACCCTCAATATGTACACTTTACTCCAAGCAACAGCTATTTAAAAATATGATAGCAGTAATTTTTTTATTTTTAAAAAATTATTTTTAATATTAGTATATCAAAATAAAAAAAATATTAAAATTTAATAAAAAAAACAAAAAATCAAACTTTAAACGGAAAAAAAAATCAAATTAAAATTTACTCTCGGAACCCTTCAAATCGCGCCTAATATATCATTGTCAAAATGAGACGATGAAAAATAAATAAAACAAAAACCTTTAGCTTTTGCCATGGCAGACGCGACCTGACAAGTATATAGTCACTTAGGCATCCTTTTAGAGGGCATTTGAGATAAATACGTGGTTAGTTTTTTTTTAAAGAAAAAAGAATTATCTCTTAAAAAAATAATTATATTTTTAAATTAAATGTTATAAGGTGTGTTTTGTACCGTGGTAGTTTTTATAATTATAATTTTAAAAAAAATATTTTATAAAAAATATTTTTTGTTGAGGTTGGTTTAATATCAATATATATTTGGTTCAAATTGTGATTGAAATTAAAGTCGAACAAAACATAATTTTATATATTTGATTAAAAAATACTTTTTAAATTGAGGTTATATATGTGTGTGTGTGGTTTTTAATTTAAATATTGTAGATTTAACTAGTACTATTATATTATAAAATATTTTTTGTTGTTTCATTAAATTATCTATAATTCTATCACGTATGAAATACATCAGATAAGGACTACGATTTTCTTGGTTTATTAAGAACGCAACAATATCAAGTAAAATATCATCATAAACAGAATTAGAATTGCAATCAAATTATGCAAATATTATATCATCAAGTGATCCTCATCAATTTTTTTTGAATAAAACACAATTTAAATTTAAAATTTTTAATGGGTTGTACCAGTTTAATACCTTTAGCTGTGGACCAAATTCAGTCCAGTCAGAACAATGAAAAGTGAATTAACTATTCACTTGAGTGAATAATGAAGAATGAAACTCTCTATTGTCCGCATAATATGGGGAAATAGCTCTCAATTGCTTTCCGCAAACTTGTGGTTTAAACAAATTTTATATAGGTCCCACACCAACAATAAAGTGAGTTCTGGTATTACCAGACATACAATTTGTGTAGTTTGTAATGTGCTGGATATTGCGGTAACTGTTGTAGTTGTGATTTGAAAAAAGTTATTTTATAAAAAGAATTTTTAATTGAGTTTGGTTTGATATTTTTACATGTCTGGTTAAAACTGCAATTGTAATTGAGGTTGAATAAAAGATAGTTTAACGTGTCAGGTAAAAAATACTTTTCAAATTGAGATTATAAAATAACTAAAAAAGATATATATTAATATTAATAATTTTTAATTTAAATATTATAGATGTAACTACCATTATTACACCATTAAACAAACAATATTTTCATATTAAATATTTTTTTATTGTTCCATTAACCTATCTAAAATTCCATTACATATGAAATTCTTCCGATAAAAAGTACAGTTTCTATGTTTTTTCAAGAGTGTAATAAAATTAGATAAAATATCACCAAGAACAAAATTAAGATTGTAATTAAATTTTACAAATGCTACATTATTGTGCGATCTCTTTCTAATTTATGTAGCGACACTAAATAATATTAAATACTATTTTTTAAAGTAAAATACAATTAAAAAATTAATTTTTTTTACAAAATCCAGTTCAACCAAAATAATAATAATAAAAATTTAAACTGAATTTGATCCATCCAGAACATTGAAGACGTTCTCTCCACATAATGAAAAACAAATTAAATCCACTCCTCAATGTTTATTTTTATAACCACTACATGGAGTCACAGAGAAGCAGCGTGAAACTGCTATTTACTCACCGGCGTTCAAAACTTTGAACATGGGGAGTCTCTTCTGAAATAAATCACGTTTTCTCAATTACTAAACACCTGTTTCCCGTAGTTTGCTTTAAAATAAAAACAATCATAAAAAAAAAAAAACACCCTCAAAGCAAAAGCTACTAAACAAAACAAGTAACACAAAACGACAAGAGGACACTTAAACTCGATTATTTGGACACATGGGCCCTTGTAACCCAACAACCAAAAAAAAAAAAAACCTCGCTTGATCCTCGAAACTAAGGAGGAGGGAAAAACAATAAAAAAGGAAAACACCAGGCGTTTCTACAAGTTCTAACTCGTCTCTGTACCAATTACAACTCAACCCAACCACGTCTGCAGCCAACAATCAAACACCCACCTGAATCTCCACGAAATCCCCTCGTTACCCAAAACCAAAGACCAGAACCTTTCACATTTCCCCCGAGGCACTCCTGTAATTTCCTCCAGGAGTCTACCAGCCATGGGAATTCCCGCTGACGATGTAGTTTTGATACAACAAGGTAGCAGCTCTCATGACCCCACCATCGTCACCGTCAATTGCCCTGACAAGTCTGGCCTTGGATGTGATCTCTGTAGAATAATTCTTGAGTTTGGGCTACACATTACTCGTGCAGGTACTCATGTTTAATTTTTAGCAAATTCTGCCCTTTTCTTTTCGTTTTCGGATGTTACTCGCGGAGGATGTCTCTCGTGAATTTTCCAAGGATATTCGGTGATTCTATATGATGGAAGATTGTTTTTTTTAATGATGTCAGATTTTCAAACCGATGGAAAGTGGTGTTACATAGTATTATGGGTGGTTCAACTTCAACATTCAAATTTGCTTAGACTTGATTGGGATAGCTTGAAAAACAGGCTCTTGAGAGTGTCTCCTCCATGTTTGACTCCCCTTTATTATGATCAGAAACTGAATGGTTCCTCGGCTGCTCCTTCTGTATATCTGTTGAAGTTTTGTTGTGTTGACCGGGAAGGATTACTACATCGTAAGTATGTAGATTTGGATGGTAGACTTGATGTTTAATCTTTCTTTTTCTTTGTTTAATTCAAGGAATAGAAATAACATGGCTTTGTTTTTATAACGTAGATGTTACTGAAGTTCTAACTGAGCTTGAATTTACAATTCAAAGACTGAAAGTGATGACAACACCAGATGGGAAAGTTGTAGACTTGTTCTTCATTACAGATGGAAGGTGAATTTTCCTCTCTTTTTTTTGGTTGTCGATGAATTTGCTTGAATTAACAAATCATTTCACAAATAATTGTAGATTGAAATGGTAATTAGAAAACTCAATTTGATCCCTAAATATTTTTTTTGTACAATCTAGTCATTTGAGTTCAAATTAACAATTAATTACTTTTTTTTTTGGAAAAAAAAAAGGTTGAATTAAAGGACTGAACTAAAGTGAAATTAGTTAGCAAAATAGATAATATCTTAAAATTTTATTTGAAAAGTTTAATTTAGGCCCTTATTTTCTTATATTTTTAAGCTAATAGGTAATTAGTTTCTTTAATTTTTCAAAATTTAATTTTAATATCAAATTTAATTTTTTTTATTTTTTTATTTTTAGAAAAGAGAGAAACTCATTACAATCCGGTATAAAAAAAATCATCATTGTTAACATTTCCAACCATAAAAATAGTCGATTTTAAAGTTAATGAATTTTATTTTATGAGGAGAGTTTGACCTAAATGTTTTTTCATTTTTTTTTGTTCAAGAAGGTAAATCTAACTGTTGGAATTATTTTTGCTTGGAGTTAATTTTTGGTTTTTTGAGTTGTTTTTTTAATGACCATGAATATATTTATTAAGATATTTAGGGTATTTAATGAGTATTTTAGATAAAAATAGGTTAAAAATTAAAAAATAAAACCCTAATTTTCAAAAAATCCTTGATCACCAAAACTTACAAAAAGCAAATGACTCTTGTTTTTTTTTAAATGAGATAGGCAATAAATCATTTGTTTTTTTAAGAAATTCAAAAAAATAAAATAAATCTCGATGTATGGGTTAGGCATTTGATTTTTTAAGAAATTCAAAAAAATAAAATAAATCTCGATGTATGGGTTAGGCGAGAAGGCCCATACATCTAGCTCTCCTATTTTATTATTGATTAAGAAAACTAAGAGAACTTATCATTGAACCTAATTGATTATGTTATCTGGGTAATATGTTTAATGAATTAATTCACAACATTTAAGACATTTTCTTTTGTTTAATGCTTTTCATGTTCTTTAATTCAAAAAACTACAATTCACCGTTTGTTATTAATAATATATATATTTTTAAAAATTTAACTCAAACCTCAAAAAATACAAGTTGATTATTTGTTGTCAATGATCTACTTTTATTATCTCAGCTCGACGTGCCTATCATAATTTTTTCTATTCTTAAAAATTGTTATTTTATATAAAAAATATTATATATTTTATTGTTATATAATTAAATAAAAAATAATTTTTTAAATAAAAAATTTATTAAATCCAATGATCTGCGTAACTTTTATTGTGCGTTTGTTTGGTGACTTGAGTTCACCTTTTTTAATCAAATATTATTATTATTATCAATTATGTTTTTTTAATATTGAATTAATTTGAGATTGAGTTTTATATTTTTTTTCAAGATTACCCTTCAAAGTTTTGTATGTTAGCCTGAGTTAATTTAAGTAAATTATTTTTTTTTATCTTAGTATTTGATTAAAATATTATTTAATTCTTAATTAAAATCTATTTTTTTAAAATATTTTATTAATATCTAAATATATATTTTTTGTGTTGATTTATTTTTTACTATTACTTGCGACTTAGAGGCAAGTTGAATACTAGATAGGGCTCTAGGCTGCATTTATCGAGTAGTTTGTGTACTTGTATGTGTTTCTTTGGTGAAATCTATTGAAAATTCTTGCAGGGTTTTTCTTGTACGTGTTTCTTTGGTGAAATCTATTGAAAATTCTTGTAGGTTTTATTTGTTCTTTTTTTTAAGGAATTAGTGCAATAAATTAAAAATTTTAGTAAAATAATATATTTTTATATTATCATGTTTTTAAATCATGATATTTACTATATGTAATGTTTTAGAAGCAAAAAACTTAACATGAGAAATTTTTTCATTGAAGTACATTTTTCATGCAATGCGCGACAACGTGGCATGTTAATAAAAGCTGTTTCAATTAAATTCCAAAAGAGTCAGTTATTCCTCCCCTTATTTTAAAAAGAACCACGGACACCCACGGGAAAATAATTTTTTTTAAAAACCTCTTATTCACCACTATACCAGAAGGCAGAAGCCTCTCTTTCATCCACAGAACACTAGAACAGTAGCCTCCACATTCAATTAAATTCCACAAGCCTTCATAACCCAAACCCACTTCCCTATTCATCTTCCACAACGCAATCTAAGCCTTCATTATGGTAAGAGTTGGAATTCAGGTAGGGGTAGCGGAAGATTCTTTAGCACTCTTACCTTCACTATGGTAGCACGAGTAGGGGCTCCATTAGCTTATCCTTGATACCTCCAGTAGTGGAGGAGGCAAAGCACAAGTGGTAGTATCAGTGCCGGTATAGCCTTTTTTTTTTAAGCAATGGCGTATCATGTATGTTTTTCTTGAGTATCCAGAGATCATGGAGAAATGACATTTTGAAAACCTTACAGCCAGCGAGATGAACACCCTAACTGTTGTCATCTTTAAATGCAGAACACTTTAAACCGCAAAAAAAATTTAATTGGTATTATGGTTCAGAAACACAACATCTAATCATATATCATAATTTTGAATCACAATGTTAATTAAATTATACGTTCTTAACCGCGTTGAAAATATACTAAAACTTTTTGCTGCCATATTAATTTGTCAATGCACTCTTTCATTTTGATACAGAGTAGTTGTCTTCATAAATGAACAGCAATGTTGTGTTTCGGGAAAATAAAGGTGTGTAAGATGTCTACACACTTGCTTTCTCGAACTCAAAGTGTGCTCAAGTGATCCCTGTATATGCGCCATCACTACACAAGTGACTCATCACCAGCCATTTCAATGGTGGCACTTGGCGCATAGCATTTGCTGCAAATTTGCCACTCACTCCAACAACTGAGAGCTATAACTATCCACGCAGCAGGAAAACATTATCTATAGAAAGGAGTGCAATACATATGAAACACATTATTAACAATTCCTGGTTTCCTATTTGCTACTTGAAATATCGCAATTCTATCGCCGTGGCATAATAGATGGAGCATATTTCAGAAATTAAACTGATGTTTTTTTTTTGTGGTAAAATACTTTACTTTTCTGGAATTCATTTTTTTCAGAATTTACTTTCCCGGAATTCACTTTAAAAAAAAAAACAACTTTCCTGCAAACAAACCCGGCTAAATCCAAAAGAGTCAGTTATTCCTCCCCATTATTTTAAAAAGAACCACGGGCGCCAACGGAAGAATAATTTTTAAAAAAAACCTCTTATTCACCACTATACCAGAAGGCAGAAGCCTCCCTTTCATCCACAGAACACTAGAACAGTAGCGTCCGCATTCAATTAAATTCCACAAGCCTTCATAACCCAAACCCATCTCCCTATTCATCTTCCACAACGCAATCTAAGCCATCATTATGGTAAGAGTTGGAATTCAGGTAGGGGTAGTGGAAGATTCTTTAGCACTCGTACCTTCGCTATGGTAGCACGAGTAGGGGCTCCATTAGCTTATCCTGGATACCTCCAGTAGTGGAGGAGGTAAAGCACAAGTGGTAGCATCAGTACCGGTATAGCCTTTTTTTTTTCACAATAAAGAAAGGAATGGTACTGAACTAGTAGATACAGTTGAGTCAGTTGTTGATCCAGAAGCGGTAGAAGTGGTTTTAGTATACCTTCCATATCAAAAGCTAGGGAACTGGATGGCATTATTGAGGAACTCCGCACTTTTCACTGGGCTTTCGACCAAAAAAGGTGAAGGTCTTCCTTCCTGTCGTGCCTTTTTTTGAAGCAATAGCGTATCATGTATGTTTTTCTTGAGTATCAAGAGACCATGGAGAAATGACATTTTGAAAACCTTACAGCCAGCGAGATGAACACCCTAACTGTTGTCATCTTTAAATGCAGAACACTTTAAACCGCAATAAAAATTTAATTGGTATTATGGTTCAGAAACGCAACATCTAATCATATATCATAATTTTGAATCACAATATTAATTAAATTATACGTTCTTAACCGCGTTGAGAATATACTAAAACTTTTTGCTGCTATATTAATTTGTTATTTCCCAATTTATCCTTTTATTTGTGAAACTGGGTTGTCTTGTCAATGTACTCTTTCATTTTGATACAGAGTAGTTGTCTTCATAAATGAACAGCAATGTTGTGTTTCGGGAAAATAAAGGTGTGTAAGATGTCTACACACTTGCTTTCTCGAACTCAAAGTGTGCTCAAGTGATCCCTGTATATGCGCCATCACTACACAAGTGACTCATCACCAGCCATTTCAATGGTGGCACTTGGCGCATAGCATTTGCTGCAAATTTGCCACTCACTCCAACAACTGAGAGCTATAACTATCCACGGAGCAGGAAAACAAAATCTATAGAAAGGAGTGCAATAAATATGAAACACATTATTAACAATTCGTGGTTGCCTATTTGCTACTTGAAGTATCGCAATTATATCGCCGAGGCATAATAGATGAAGCATGTTTTAGAAATTAAACTGCTGTTTTTTTTTTGATATATTGCTGACCACATGGCATGTTTCTCGCAAGTTTTAAAGCTGACTTGCTTCTAATCAAACCTTCCGGTGATTCTCTTCTGATTAGTTTGGATGAAGTTTTCTCTTAGTAACATGTTGTGTTTTATCTTCTTCTGTTCAAGCATGACCGAATCTTGGTCCCCTCCAACTCTGTTGTCTTGCACTGCCTGAGCCAAGGCTTGGGGCGGCTTGTTGTTTGAGTATGATGAGTATTTCCAGAAAGCACGCATCGTAATGGGACAAAAACTATTCTTATTTTTATCTGGTTATGTATTAGTTCACAGCGGCTCTTTCAAACAAACAAAAAAAAAGAACAGAAATAAAATGTCAGTTCACAGTTGATATTTGGTGGTCTCTTTTCAGGGAGCTCTTACACACGAAAAAAAGGCGAGATGACACGTGTGGATATTTGTGTGATGTCTTCAGAGAATACTGTATTGGGTGTGAACTTCAGTTGGCAGGTCCTGAATGTGATAATCAGCGGAATTTCTCTTCCCTCCCTTTGGTAGTGGCAGAAGAATTGTTTAGCTGTGAGCTGTCAGAAAAGGAATCCTGTATGCAAGCACCCAGGGCGGCTACAACATCACCAAAGAAGGCCATCGTTACAGTGGATAATCTTTTGAGCCCAGCTCATACATTGCTTCAAATACAATGTGTTGATCAAAAAGGTCTATTTTATGACATCTTGAGAATTTCAAAGGACCTGAATATCCAGGTACAGTGGTCATGAGCTTCTTAATAAGAACAATTCTTGTTAATTTGTTTGCTATGCCATTGATCTTGACCATCTTAAAATGGATTAAGTTGCACAAAATATCACCTTCCCATTTAAGGTGCTTACAGACTCAGAAATCATGTTGGTACAAGCATTATCCAGTATCATGAGTCTTCTCCTTTAAAACCTTTTTGCTGAACTTTTTCTTTACTTTCCTTGACTATTTCTGGAATTAATGTAGATAGCTTGCTATTGTTCCATTAATGCTATGAAATCTGTCCCATTAAGTTCACAGCATTACTGTTTATTGTTCTTTTGGGCCTTGGTGTGGCACTAAATGGCTGTTTGTGTTGATATTTGATTTTGATTAGTATTTTAACAATATATGGTTGCTTTTGTTTCTAATGCAGGTAGCTTATGGTAGATTCTCGTCTAGCATAAAAGGATACCGTAACATGGATCTATTTGTTCAGCAAACAGATGGGAAGAAGATATTGGATCCTAAGCTTCTAGATAATCTTTGTTCTCGATTGAAGGAGGAGATGCTTCATCCATTGCGAGTGATCATTACCAACAGAGGCCCAGATACCGAGCTCTTAGTTGCTAACCCTGTTGAGTTATGTGGCAAGGGAAGACCGCGCGTATTTTATGATGTTACTTTAGCTCTGAAAAAGCTGGGAATATGCATTTTTTCGGTAAGAGTTCAGTATCTGCATTTAGCTTTTATCTTTCACAATGTGTTGAGTAACTTCTCCTCGTTGTTAATTTGTAGGCTGAAATCGGAAGGCACTCAACTGAGGATCGCCAGTGGGAAGTCTACAGATTCCTTTTGGTTGAAAATGGTGAATTTCCATTAGCAAGTGGTCAAGCCAGAAATCAAATGGCAGCCGGAATTAGAAGAACATTAATGGGCTGGTAGATGATCCACTGCAAACCACATTGATGGTGAAAACAGTTTTGCCTTCTCCAAGGTGTACCTTCCTCTCTGATTGGACATATCTGCACTGCAATGTTGTCCCTATTTGCCGATCATTGAGGTCATGCAGCAAGATAACCTATTCTCTGTAGCCAAGCTCTTGCTGTAACTATTCTCTCTTGCTATTAAAATGTGTAGTGTTTCATTTTCCATCGTCTGCAATGTATCAAAGAAGCATCTGTGGCATCTTCGGAAAATGCAGAAGCCAATCCCTTTCTGGTGAAGTTGTAGATTATCTATAAACTCTTTCCCTCTTTATTATTTTATTTTCTTTGCTAGGATGAGGTCCGGTATGTAGTTGTACCAGATCTTATAACGCTTTTGCACCTTTTGTGATGCAACAAAGGGATGCAAAGGTAAGAGCACTCAATATGAAAGACGATTAGGCCAGCAAATCTGCCATTGGGAGCTCGTTGGATAATGTGGGAGGTGCTGGAATGGGTGGTCTTTTTCACAATCACAGTGATGTTTGGCTGTCCCAGCAAATCTGCCATTGGGAGCTCGTTGGATAATGTGGGAGGTGCTGGAATGGGTGGTCTTTTTCACAATCACAGTGATGTTTGGCTGTCGGGTTTTCCAGGCTATCTTGTAGCGGCAACCATCATGATAGCTGAAGTTCAAGCCATCCAGACTGGCCTGTCTCTGGGATGGAATTTAGGCTTCAGATCAGTGATGCTTAGCCGTGCATGCCATTTTCGAGGTTACGTCTCCAGCTCTTCCTTGTTTTGCTCTAGCTGGTGACATTCGTGTTCTCCTTGATGAGGGCGCCAGTGTTCACAACTTGGTGAATGTAACCAAGGCGCTGATTTCCTGGCCAAGGTTGGGGGTCATGGTGATGAGGGTGTATGTAAATGGCAGCATGCTCCTGGTATCAGTCTATTCTTTCCGGAGATCTGACTGATGTTTGAGTTCTCGAGGTCCTAGGTTTTGCTTTTATCCACAGCACTTTACTGAGAGATTTTAGAGAAGCTGTTCTAATAGTTTTTCACTTGTACAATTTCCTAAAATCTCAAAGCGTTGCGTGTTAATTTACCGTGAGACGGCACAACTGTTCACTTAGATAAAAAAACTACAAATGACATCGTATATTTTTTTTTTGTATTTTATATTTTATGACGAGTTAAAAGTTTTAGAAAAGCTATATTTTGCTTTTTTAATTTTAAATATTATGAAAATTATTTAATTGTAGTATTTTAATTTTATCATAAAAATTTATTTTCATTATTTTTAGTTTCTAACTAAGAGAAGAGTCACCGGATTTTAATGGTAAAAAAAAAATTATTCACATGCTATTAAAACAATTGATATCTATATCAAATAATTTTATTTAATAAAAAAAATTCATATTAGATATTTTTTAACCTTGAAAAATCAAATCTTAACTAGAGTAATTTTTTAGTTTATGGTTAATTTTGGTTTTTAAAATTATATTTTTAGTTTTTTTATTATATAAATAGATTTATTGCTGTTTTTAAGGTGTTTTAATTTAAAAATTTATTAAAAAAACTCCAAGTTCTGATTTTTTAGGTATCATTAATTTTTTTTTAACAAAAATTGAGATAAGAAACATATCATCCCTTCCAAATGAAAAAAAATAAAAACCAATTGCACAATTTAATATGAAATAAGCCAAGCAACTGAATTAACGCTGCAATAAAAAAAATGATAAAATTTATAATTATATTATTTATACAGGAAAATATGATTTTTTTTAAGGATATGTATGATGTTGTTTATATCTATTCTCAGATTCGCGAGTCCTTATGAAATAAGTAGGCTGCTGAATTACCGCTACAATAAAAAAAAAGATAAAATTTATAATTATATTATTTATACAGGAAAATATGATTTCTTTTTAGGAAATGCATAATGTTGTTTATATCTAATCTCAGATTTTCCATGCCCCAGACAGCTTTTTTCTGTGAGTGTTCTTAGCCTTTTGTAACAAAAGAAGAAGAAGATGAGCCTTGAATTTAAATTTTAAACAAAATATTTAAAAGGTGTTCGGAAATATATCAGTAGTTATTTTTAAAAATTATAATATTTTTAAAATATATTAAAATATTTATATAAATACATTAAAATAATTTCAAAATATCAAAAAATATTAATTTAAAATAAAAAATAAAAAAACTTAATTTAACGGCCTTTACTGTATCTGTACTGATCACTACAGTTTCTCCACAATTACGGATTTACCATACAAGAGGAAAAAAAATTGTTTATCCACTAAGAAACAAAAACCTAAACGACAGCATACTAGCAAGTTCTTATTCGACACGATCGAGAATCATTGTCATGTTCTTGACGTATGAAATATTATTTTTCTTGTCTTCCTTTCGGTGTCAAAAGTTTTCCAGATTCATCCATATTTCTTAAGCTACCTAGGGTTTAGCCCTCTCATGCTCTGTTACCTTTCCCCAGGTACTCGATGTATACGCATGCATATATACTACTATGTTTTATACGCCTGCGTGTGTTTGCATGCATTTGTACATAATTAATGGCCAGTTTGTAATTTAATATTGGCAGTGACTTTTCTTTCTTTATTTTTTTATGCTGAGAAAATGAAGGGATTTGAAACTTTTAAGATGCGTTCTATTGTTGATTTATGTTTGAATAAGAACGAAGAGAGCTCTTGAATCCAAGAAATGGTCAAATTCATGGAAAAGTTGTGGTAAAACAGAAGTTTATTATCGTTTTCTATTATTTAGTCCTTTTTAGTGATGAAAATATTAGTTTAAAACTTCTGAGATATTGATAGATTGCTGTAGTGAAACAGAATTCTTATTTATGGTGTCTGTTGATTTTATTTGTTGAAATTTAATTAGACGGGGGTTTTGTGGTGGGATTGGCAGATTGGTGTTTTTTCCCCTGCATCTGGTGGTTATTTTGTGCTTGAGAATTGGGCAAGCTCTCTGACATGAGTCTTTATAGAAGCCAGAGTTCATCACAAGGAGCTAAGAGGTTTCGTATGAATTCATCGTATCATGATGCCCCTTATTCCAAGGATCATCGCAGTTTCCGGTATGGTATGCTTTTGTTACTATGCTGATTGTTTATCTTTCTAGTCAGGTATATATCATGTCGCTATTTGCATGAATTGTTATTTAATTTTAAGAGGCTATTTTAGTTACAGATTCTCTCCATTTTAAGCTTTTACCATGGGAACTCTATCTTTTTGTTGCATTTGGTGTTAGTGGAAAAATCATACATTTAGCGCTTACCATGTCACGTACTGGAATCTTTAGCTTGCATTTGGTTTTAGGGGAAAAATCATACATTTAGCGCTTACCATGTCACGTACTGGAATCTTTAGCTTTGCTAATTATAGTTTGGACAGTTCTTATGGTTAATTTGGAGGAGGAGAACTATCAAGGAGATATTTATAAAATTGTTGGGAATGGGTATGCTGCATGCATTATTACAGAGTTTCTGCGGTGCTTGGCTGCTCTTCACAGTGAGCATGTGAGTAGAGATGATATTTGTTCATGGAATATGACATTTGCTTGGATAAATAAGCTATTTCTGAAACTTAAGATTGAATCTTTTTGCCCTGTCAGAGTACATAAAACTTAAATAGAGAATTGATTGTAGAGAATACATTTGAATTGTTGTGTTCATGCTTGTAATACTATGAAAATTGGCTGCTTTTTGTTGATTTTTTCTTAAATTCATCCAGTTGAGATGTTAGCTGTGAATTGTCATCTTTTCTAGTCAAAGTTTCTTTGGTAATTGGTTTAATTTCCTGATACTGGAAGTCTAATTCTCTGTCTCTCTCTCTCTCTCTTTTTAAATATCTGAGATGTCGTCTGCATCGTTAGGATTACCTCTAAATGGTTATATTGTTTAGTTTTGGCCATGATGGTCTCTGTAATAGATGCAAACGACCTGGGCATTTTGCGCGAGATTGTTCAAATATGACTGTGCAACAACTGTGGGCTTCCTGGGTGAGATGAGTTCTCGCATCTACTTTCTTCTTGTGAACCTTTCATGTGAAGTTCAAGGATACTAGAAATTGCTTTCTTGGTGGACTACTGTCTATAATTCAAGCTTCTTTGTGCAGTTCTGTTTTGGTTACTTTTGTCATACATTTTTTTGTTTCAGCCATATTGCTGCTGGATGCAACTCAGATACTGTGTGTTGGAACTGCAATTAGCCTGGACACCATGCTAGCCATTGCCCCAATGATCCAGTCTGCCAAACATGTGGTGGGCCACCTTGCTCGCAAGTGCTGTGACTCTGATTTTCCAGTTCAGAATGCAAGTCTCGGCAATAATTGATATAGGCCAGGCCACATTGCTGTTGACTGTAGAAATTAGAAGGCCTGCAACAACTGCCGGAAAACTGGTCATCTTGCTCATGATTGCCCTAATGAGCCAGTCTGCTACGTTTGCAATATATCAGGTCATGTGGCCTGTCAATGTCCCGAGTCAAGCCTGGCATTAGAGATATCAGGTTGCTCTAATGACTTCCTCTGCCACAGCTGTGGACAGCATAGCCATCTCAGCCGGGGATTGCATGTCCATTATCATCTGCAACAATTGTGGCGGGAGAGGCCAGTAAGCACACAAGTGCTTTTCTGCTCCAATGTATCACCGTGGTCCCGTGGATTCATTGATCTGCTGGGAGAATAAAAAATATCGATAGTATTGGTGCAACAAGCCACAAGGAGAGCTGATAAATTTTGCTGCTGGTGTATTGATCATCAAGACTTCATGCTTTGAAGCCGAGAACAGACATGTAAATATACATGACGAATGAATTAACAGCAGCTGCAGGTGGATATTACATGATCACTGTCAATGTCTCTCTAGCTCGATATCCGACAACATATTTAAGCCCAACATATTTTCAGAGGAAAATATCAGGTATGCCTCGTCAATTGTGTCTCCAACTACTGTACGAAGCCTGAGCCACGTGGAAATTGGGAAGGATGCTGGAGGTGCATGCTTGCATTGCATATATACCAAACCAGTGCAACTATAAATGAAACAGAACCCTTAAATCCCCCAGCATTTTGAAGGTGGTATACCCTAATTTTCACCTCTCCCTTTTCTTTTCGTATAGACCCTGCCCTCCTGGATGGCATATAGTAAATAATGCAGCTTTTCAGTTTGGAAACTTAAAGAAGCAAATATTTCTAGCTAAAAAGCGTGTAGCAGATGGTTATACCCATCCAACACCGCGGAATCTGCAGAACAGAATTGTGTCCTTCCAAAACATTTTACTTTACGTGGCATGAAATAGAGGAATAAACATGAAAATGTGATTCAGAGCAATACCTGGTCGATCAATTTGCTTCTCTTTATGTATAATCAACAGCCCGAAGTTCACAAAATCTGCCCCCTTTGCTCCTTATTACTCTTGGTTAGTTCTCTACTATTTCAAGTACTTGGAGAGTGGAAGTGGAAAATGTAAAAATCCATCGCCTTTTAAGTGGGTTCATTGTTTTGCTTAGATGCCAAAGAAGTGCTGGGGTCGCCTATGGTTGTAGTGCTGGTTCCGTCTTCTAGCCCTCGGTCTGAAATTCATTCAGGGCCTCTTTTGAGCACACTAAGTTTTCGTAGTAGCTGCTACAATCACTCATGGTTATTCCTTAGCGCCTATTGATTTATGAATTTGGTTGTAGTGCTGGTTCCGTCTTCTAGCCATATATATATATATATATATGAATTCCTTAGCGCCTATTGATTCTGTTCTGAAGTTTTAGTGTTCGTAGTGTCTGATCAAAAGGATCACGCTGACTTGTCAGGATCAATAGGAAATATCATTCCTCAGAACTGGTTCATGTTAACATGGAAATTTATGCCTTTTGACCATATCCCGGAGCATGAAATATCTGTGTTCTAACTTCCAAGAGGTGGGGAACAAGAATGGACGTTTCAAGCAGTAAGAACTTGAAAAAGAAATAAATACAAAATAAGGAGCAGCGTTGCATTTTTAACTTCTAATTACAGAAGTTGATTTCCAATGCCGCTTCCTATTTATTTAATTTGGAAATATTCATGGTTCTCAGCTTGCCACCATAGCTTCAACCTTGCATTACAGTTTTGACGTGGTCTTA